TATGTGGTTACCCGTCGGTAACACCAAATCAATCAGAAGCTTCTATCAAAGTTGTCGAATTAATATCGACCAGAACAGAGTTGTCGAAATAATATTGACCAGAACAGAATTACTTAAGTATGAGGCCATGTGAGTGAATAACACACACATGAATCTTCATTCCCAAGACGTGAATTTCAAATAAAATACAAAACAAATACTTACTTTCAATATTAAATTAATTCAAAACATTAAAATAATTTAAAACAAATTTTATCAATCCTCCAAAACGTGATTTCAAATATTTCACAAATAAACAAAATATCAATTTCAAACCTTTAAATAAATCTAAACAAAACTTTATCAAATCATTTAACAATACTTCAAATACTTTGCAAATAAACATAATTTCAATTGCCAAATTAGTTTTCAAATCCATAATAAGACTTGAATTTCATATGCAAGACATCAATTTCAAATCCTCCTATCAAATCCAAAATACATTTTAGTTTTGAAATATGACAAATCACTTACGACACTTTTCGGTAAATTACTTACAATACTTTTTCGAAGGGATATGACAAATTACTTACCTCTTTCAGAAATCCTACGAATCTAATTTACTTCTTCCTTAAAGGCCTAGAAACAATCAATATACAAAATCAATTCTTAAATCCTATCCAAGGATTTAAAATTCAACCAATTACTAACTCAAATCTTATCTACCCAATTTTCCCATCCAAAACACTTTTTTATGTAAAATAATAAGGAAAGTATGGATTTGGGGCTACAAAACCAGATATGAAAACTAGGTTAAAAAGTTTCTAAATTCAACAATAACAAATTTTAAAATTAGAAGAATCGATATAAATCAATACGAACTAAATTTACAAAAATTTTCTCAATAAAACCAGCTTAAAAACCTTCTAAACAATTGAAAATTTGGGGATTTTAAATCTGAAAAATTTTTCGTTTTATAAAATAAAACTTCCAAGAATTTTCCATAAAACAATTAACAATTTACTAATTTTTATAAAAAAATCAGATCTGAAAACTTTATAGAAAACCTTTAAAATTTGGTAAAAACATATAATTTTTAATCTAAAAATCATAACAACAAACTATAATTTATAGGATACAAATAGGTAAATTTTTTATGTAGAAAGAGCTTTAAAATAGCCCAAAAATAGTCTTATAAACAAAAAAATTCAAATAAAAAATTTTGGAAAATTTTTAGGGTAAAAAGTCCTTAAAATATTTTATTCTAAAAAACAAAAACCTCAAAACTTTTCTCAATAAACTGAATTAAAGAACTACAAATCAAGAAAAATAAACTAAAACAATGAGGAAGAAAATCTTACCGATCTTAATACCAAAACTCTTCTTCTTTTCTTTTCCTTTTCTCTTTGAGAGAAAACTAAGTCTAACAGTTTAAGAAATAAAATCTAGGGTTTTAAGAGCTTTTATGACAAACTGTAATGAATCCTTATTTAAAAAAGATAATAAAAAGATAAAGATTTAATAAAACTTTTTTTTTCAAATTCTAAGAACAAATTATCTTTTAAAAATAATTTTTAAAACAAAAATTTATATTTTTTTTGAGAAAATAAAGAAAACAACTAAATAAAAATAATAATTTAAATATATATATTTATATATATATATATCTTTTTTTTTCGGTTGTTACATTTTTACTTTTCTCTTACTAATTTTTTCCTCAAAATATTATTTTTTCTTTTGAAAATTTCACTTTAAAAAGTTTCATTTTATCTTACTAAGTTTTTATTTTATGTCTTTATATGAGGGATGACATGAATCTCTGTAGGGTTGGATTACCGATCCAACAAGAGGGATTGCATCATTTCTCTCCATGTCCCGCCCACGCCCCAATTCTATTTTTAAATTATTAATATATATTTTATTAGATGTTCTAGTAAACTATGAATAAATATTTGATCTATAATTTTCCTTGCGAAAATCCTCGTACCCGAAGGAGGATTTCTCAACCTGAATCTCGATTCTCAGAATCGTAAAATAAAGTGGAGATGAAAAATAAAAATTTGTAGGAGGACAAGGATGAAGAGGGCATCCAACTCTCGCCCCGGCCAATTGTCATCCTTACTCTACATACATTTTTTTTTCTCTCTAGTCTATCTCTTTAATTCTATAACTTTTTGAAAAAACAGAAAACCAAAATGGTTACAAAACATGTTTGGTTTTCTGTCCTTAAAAAATAAAAAACAAAAAACAGTTATGAAACATATAGGGTTTTTGTGTTGAATAACCTTGACAACATTTATTTTTATCCACTTTTTTCAAAACTTATGTTTTCTAGACATCACCTAGATACAAATGAACATATTTCTATTCTGTAATTTGTTTTTGGTTTGGGTTACAAAATCTTCCGTCTTCTTCTATTTTTTTCCGATTGGGTTTTACGAAACACCCCTTTCATTTCTTTAAAGCAACTCTTTCAGATCTTCTAGAAGCAATTTCCAAATATCGCTTATGTGCTCTCTCGCTCTCTCTCTAGCTCTGGGCATTTTTTCAACGTAATGATAGGGGGAAGGTGAAATACTAAGATTTTTTTTCTTTTTTTTTTTAGTTAAATTTTAAATTTGATACTTTCACATAATTTATTATGAATGAAACAAGGGAAGCGAGATTGGAGTTGGAGATTATACACTTAAAGATATTTTTTTTCCACAAAGTGAATTAAATTTTAAATTTAAAATCTAATCATAATTAAAACTACAGAGATTAAAGGGGAGATTTATTTCCTTTTTAAATGTTTAATTCAAATAATTAAGGAAAAGAAAAAAAATTAAATAAATTTAGATTAAATTTCAAATTTGAATACGAATAGAGATTCGATAGAGATTGAGGAGAGATTATGTTTCCCTTCATTCTAATTTTCAAATTTTTAATTAAAAAATCTTTAATCTCTAAAGTATTTATTAATCAATTTGAATTTGACCAAACGGTTTCGAAATCTATTTATTTACTTTCTATGGATTTAATCCTTGTTATGATTTCATTAAAATTAACCAAATTTTATTATTATTACTATTATTATTATTTATATAAACGATATTTTATTTCAAAATATTTGAAATTATTCACTTCAAAAATTGACAAACATTCCTTCAAAATTAATTCAATAATTTAGGAAATTTATTCATTTTATAAATAGATTTTTAATAAATTAAATTATTTCACAAAATAAATAAATTAATTCGTTCTTGAAATTCTCTCTCTCCCACTCATTCTCTCCCTCTCCATCTCTCTCACCCTTCTCTCTCTCTTTCTCTTCTCTCTTAAAATTTAGGAAGAATGAAAAAAAAATACTCATAGTTACAGAAGAGAAAGAGAAAAAAAATAATTTAGAGAGAAATCTAAAAACTGAACGGAGGAACAATGAAGAGCAAACATTAGAAAACATAGTTTCGAAAAATGTAAGTAAAAATCAATCCTTGAGAAGGGCTATTCAGAACAAAAAGGGAAAAAAAAAAACCAAACATATAAGAGTTTTGTTTTTTAAAACAGAAAACTAAAAATTAAACACAAAACAAAAAACAAAAATCATTATCAAGACCTTAAATGAGAAGGTTTATTCCTAAAAATTTGAAGTCGGTAGGTCTTCGAACTTCAAAAACGTCGAATAAGTTCCAACCTATACAACATTTTTTAAAATTAATGTCCATTACTCTAAATTGTGTCTAACAAGTCTCTAGATTTTAAAAAAACATCAGATTGGTGGTGGATGACCATCAGACACAATGGAGGAGGAAAATCTAACTTACCCTTGGATATAAAAAAGAATATGGATAATGGACCAGTGACAAACAACAGGTGAGGAGAAGCGCGTGCAGATCACGCGCGGGTGGAGACAGGTGGTAGGAATAAGGAAGAAGCGTGATGGTGGGTGAACTAGAGGAGTGAGCAGGTGGACCCTGTTTTCTTCTTTTTTTTTTTTTTTTTATTTTATTTGGTTGGTTGGATGAGTAACTTTTTGGCGACTCAACAATGGCCACAGCCACGCTTACTTTTCAGTCTCGAGAGCTGTGTTCCCTTTTTCTTTCCATTCTCTGTTTTCTCTCTCAGCGACTCCTGCGTGCTTCCCCATCACCATTCACCACAAAATCTTCAACTTCAACAACAACAAAAAGAACAAGAAATGTTCCAAAGCTTGTATTTGGCATTGCCTTTTTCAACAAATCCATGTGATTTTCCACTTACAACATTGCTTTCTCCCCACTTCTCGCCATGAACACAGGTTAATTATTCCTCCCATTTCCATTTCTACGTTGCTTCCAAAATGGAATCTCTTCTCACTTGTTCCACTTACCACTCCTAATGCTGTTTATTTATATCTATTTTTATAATAATGCGAAGAAAAGGGGAAGAATAACGCTGATTTCTTATCTGGGTTTTACAGATTCATTGTATCTCTTCCTTCATTCTCGCATTTAAGTTTGAATCTATCTTTGTTTATTCTTGTCTTTCCCTTTTCTAAATTTGGTATTTCTAGATCTTTTTATATTGTTTTTTTGGTTAAATTACAATTTTGGTGCTCTCGTTGGTTTTAGTTCGGTTGACGTGGTTTTAAAGGTTTCAATTCATTCTCCATGGTCAGGTTTCATTTCAATTTCATGTCTATGGTTTAGGCTTGGCTTCGTATTTGTTTTAAATATTTTAATTTGGTCTCTATGGTCCTAAAAGATTTAATCTAGGCTCCATGGTTTAATAAAACTTTACAAATCATCCCCACCATTATCGTTATCGGTAATTCGCACCTCCTTCTTTTTTGCATGACAGTGATCGCATGTTTTTAATTTTGGTATAGAAATCGAAGAAAATAAATGAACTTAACAGGTAGATTAAACACAATCTAGGGATGACTTGTGAAGTTTAACCAAATTATTGGGGCCAAATTGAGACTAACTTCAACTCATAAAGACTAAATTGAAACTTCTAAAACTATAGGACCATGGGGAAACTATGGACCAAAATTTTAATTCCCTGTTATTTTTTGTACCTACAGTGGAATCCAGCTGTCTGCTAATTTTTCCATCGTCCGGCAATAATTGTTAGTTGTATTAGGTTATGGAAAAGGCAAAGAAAACATGGAACGTCATGAAAATTCGCAAAAGTAGAGACCCAAAACGGTGGATTCCAATGCAAGAACTCTCCAATAAGTCTCTGCAGTTGGAATTAGGATAAAGGCTCATCCCAAAACCAGTAAAGATTGTGCAAAGTACTTCTTATAGAAAAGCATGGGTGGGAGCATATGATTTTTATCTTCAATCACATTCTTTTTGATTTAGTACGACAAATATTGGGGTAAGAATTTGAACCTCCGAACTTAAGGGAAAGAGTAGATGCCTTAACCGCTGAGTTATGCTCACGTTGACTTCAATCATATTCCTACATAATGGTAAATAAAGGCAAACCTTTGAATTATGTGATTAGTGTTGATCCTCTCCCATGTCAATAACTAGGAAAAAATACCTAAGCTTTTTAGTAGCCTTCACTTACCATGACTTCCTAGATCAAAGAGGGCAATGGACTGGGAGGACTTAGGCAACTATTATTGGATGAAGACACCACATTCTCCCCTTGAAAACCTTGCAAGAGTATCAACAACAACAACTATCATTAACATTTCCTAAAAGTGATGTTGAAATTGGGAGAAACCAAAGATAAATGGAAGCAATAAAACATGATTTAGCATGGGTAAGGCTAATGATATACATACAACTGAGGGCTTGAAATTTTCAGAAAGGTCCAAGATTAGCAGGTTCCCATGTGACCTTACTTGAACAAGATTTGTTCTATAGGTTGTACAACTATATCCTTGAGTTCTAGAAGGAGGTTTTCATCTTGCAAATTGGAAAAATGCTTCCATCCCTCTCAAGTGTGATGTCTTAGGAATTTGGAACTTAAGAGAGGAATATTTCTTTGCTTTCCAAGTAGTTTTGAAAGTTTTCTTTGAGTGAAGGTTGTTAAGTTATGATTAACCTAGAGGGATCGATAGGTTATGTTGTCCCTTTGTCGTTTAGGCTATTCTTGTTGACTGTGGTGTCTGTTTGTGAATTCCTTTGTTTCTTATGAAAAGAAGAAAACAATGACTCTTTTTATGTAACAAGACTGAATTAAATAAAGAAGATTGTAAAAAGTAGAGTATGAAAGATGACACTATAATGTTTATGTTGTAAATGTCAAACTCGAAAAGAACCACTAGAATGTAACTGAAAAGTTCTTTAAAAAGAGATCGAGTTTGACTCTGTAGCACTTAGCTTTATGGTACCTACAATTCTGTTCTTCAACTCTGAAAACACGTGGCACTTCCCTTTGTCAAACGGAGAAACTGGTTAACTATGTCTCTGATACCTTTTTTTGAAGAATAATGAAAATCATCTCGTGGAACATCAGAGGCATCAGTAATTCGAACAAGCGTTTTAAGGTGAAGAATTTTGTTAAGCCTCTTTGCCCTGATGTCATCTTTCTTCAAGAAACAAAAATGCAAGCTATGGATAACGTGATAATCAAGTCCCTCTAGAGTTCCAACGATGTTGGTTGGGCTTCTTTGAATTCTTGTGGAAAAGTTGGGGGGTTACTCACCATGTGGGACGAGAGCAAAATTCAAGTAAAGGAAGTACTGGAAGGGAGTTTCTCAATTTCCATTTGTATATCTTTTTCCAGCTTAACCGATGTATGGTTAACTAATGTTTATGGACCTACAGACTACTTGGAAAAAAAGTCCTTTTGGACTGTGCTGCTGGATTTAGCATGCTATGTAGGGAACTGCTGGTGCATTGGAGGGGATTTTAATGCTATCAGATGGACAACGGAAAGATCTTCATGTGTTCGAATATCTAAAGCAATGAAGAACTTCAACTCTACCATCGAAGCTCTGGAAGTTCTGGAGATTCCTTTTATCTAATGGTAAGTTTACATGGTCCAAAGCTGGAAATGACTCAATCCATTCTTTGTTGGACAGGTTTTTCATCTCTAAAGGATGGGAGGACCTCTTCACCAATTCTAGATCCTCACGTGGTGATAGGATCACATCAGACCATTTCCCAATTGTTTTGGAAGCGGGGATTTTGCTTGGGCCCTAGCCCGTTTCACTTCTTTAACTCATGGTTGAAGGATAAAGAATGTACGAATTTAATTACATCGAAGCTTTCAGCAGATACGACTTATGGATGGGCTGGTTTTGTTCTTCACTCCAAACTCAGAAATTTAAAATCACCTCTCATACAGTGGAATGCCAAGAAAGACAAAGAGAAGCAGGAAAAATCGGCTAAGTTTCTTCAAGATATCACCAACCTCGACATAAAAGAGGAGTGTTTTGGCTTTGTAGAAACTAAGGTTTCAGAGAACCCGATTATTCTTATTCTCATTACTGAAGTCTATATATATAGACAAATATACAAGGTTGACCTAATCCTATAAGGAGAAGGTAAAGGACAAAGGACAAATTAATATTAAATACAAGAATATAAAATATACTAATATGTTTCTAACACTCCCTCTCAAGTTGGTGCATATATATTAATCATGCCCAACTTGTTAGACAAATAATCTATTCGTGCTCCATTCAACTTGTGTTCTGTGTTTTTTGATATTATTGGGATCACCTCAGAAGTTACGATTGATTTCTTCTCGGCCATAACAAACAAACGAACTTATTTGAACAAAACGACATAACCAGGCCAAACCACCCAAACCAAACAAAACAGATGAGTCAAATTGCTGGAACCAAACCGGATTAGGTGTTTTTTGAACCCAGAAACCCTAAGTGCTACCCCACGACAACCAGAGGAGCGAAGGCGACGGGTGGCGACTGGCGGTGACGAAAGCACACGGCGATGGCGACGGCGATTGGCGGCGAGATGAAACCCACGAACAACAATTGGAAAACAGCAGCGCTGGCAAATCAGCAAATGGCGGCGGCGGTAGTAGTGAGTTGAGTTGGATAGAAATGAACAAAACCCTGAGGGATAAGACCCCAATGTGCACAAAACCCTAATGGGCACAAAACCCTAATGTTTATCCTAATGGGCAAGAAACCTAGAGCTCTGATACCATGTAGAAACTAAGGTTCCAGGGAGAAAGTAAAGGACAAAGGACCAAGGACAAATTAATATTAATACAAGAATATAAAATATACTAATATTTATACTCTAACAGGCCTGACAGAAGAGGAAAAGGACTTAAAGGCTTTCTCTCCAGAAGGATCTATTAAATTTCTTTATTGTGGAAGAGCGCATTTTAATACAAAGGTGCAAAGTTCACTGGTTGAAGGAAGGCAATGAGAATACTAAGTTCTTTCACCGTTATCTAGCTGCACGGAAAAGAAAGGCCATGATTATGGAACTTTCAGACAGTAATGGTATCCCTCTCTTGAATCCAGATTGAGGCTGAAATCCTTGGTTTTTTCGAAAAACTCTATACTCGAATTCCTACTCAACGGTTTTCTATTAGAGGCATCAATTGGCGCCCCATCTCAAGGGAAAACAGATCTTGGTTGGTGAGACATTTTGAAGAAGAAGAAATATGGTCGGCATTGAAAGCTCTTGGTAAGAATAAAGCTCCCGGTCCGGATGGATACACTTCTGAATTTTTCTTACGATTCTGGGCTCACCTAAAGCACGATTTCATCAGATTTTTTCATGAATTTTATCGTAATGGTCAGATCAATTCCTGCTTGAAAGAAAACTTCATTTGTCTTATCCCTAAGAAAGTAAGTGCTGCAAGAATTAAGGACTTCAGGCCAATCAGCCTCTCTACTTCCACTTATAAGATCCTTGCAAAAGTCTTAGCCAAAAGGCTTAAGAAGGTGATTTCGTCTTCAGTTTCCTTTAATCAAAGCGCCTTCATCGAAGGAAGGAACATTCTAGACCCTATTTTGATTGCAAACGAAGTGGTTCATGACTATCAAGTAAGAAAGAAGAGTGGTTGGCTGCTGAAACTCGATTTCGAAAAGGCTTTTGATAAAATAGATTGGAGTTTCCTTGAGGATGTTCTTTGTCAGAAACAATTCGGGAAGAGGTGGATCAGTTGGATCAATGGTTGTGTAAGGGATACTAAATTCTCCATATTCATCAATGGGAGGCCTAAAGGGAGGATTGATGCTTCACGAGGTTTAAGACAAGGAGATCCTCTTTCTCCTTTTCTTTTCCTTCTTGTTAGTGACGTTTTCAGTAGTCTGATTGACAGCATCTATTCTAATGGCTCTTTTGAAGGTTTCTTGGTTGGAAGACAGGA